GGACTCTGTATGGAGTGACATCGAGGTGAGCTGGGACTGGGCTGGGCACTGCAGGATCGGAGCTTCCCTCAGATGCAATGATTCCTGGAAGGGGGATGGGCTTGGGTGAAGGAGGGGAGGCAGGAAGTAGCGGGGCAGAGCTTTTGGAAAGGGAGTCTCAACCTTATCTTAACTCCAATAAGTTTGCTATTTTAAGGTGGCTCGGAGATGCCTTGAGCAAATCAAAGCTTAGCTGCTGTCATCAGTATCCGCAGCAGTTAGAAACTCTCTCCATGTGCCTTTGGCTCTGCCTCTACTCGTATGCAATATTTATGCTCTAAGATATTGATATGAATCAGGAGCTGAAGACTTTCCAGTGTTCAGTGGCCTGCTTGGAAAAATGCCATTTCTATTTATAAAAAAATGAAGATAAACATTAAAGTGGATGTGTTCAAAGAGAGTCCGTTTTGACTCTAGCCGGGATTTCCCCCCTTCCTCTCTCTGTTCATTAAACAGAGAATTTACAAGATCCTAAATAATCCTGTCTGGGCTATGTTAGATTGCTTTTCCCACAGAACACAAAACAACGGTGCTGTAGTGCTGCTTCCTTTAAAACTCCTGTGTGTGGTTGATAGGGTTGGCTACCAAGCTAAAAAAAAAAAAAAAAAAAAAAAAACTCTTTTTTAAGAGTGAAAGCATTGCTTCTTCACTGCGAGGGGAGGAAGCTCAAGTTGGGTAAAAAAAAAAAAAAAAAAAAAAAAAATCTCTGTCTTAAGAGTGCAAGGTTTGCTGTTTGCGTCGGTGGCAGGAAAGCCAATGGTTAAATCTCCCTGTGCCACGGAGAGCTGCCTGAAGCCGGAGAGAACAGAGTTTATGCAGACCGTGTGTGGAGCTGCTCGCTGCTTGTGTAAAAATAGACGGCAATACATCAATTCCACAGGCTCTGCTGGCTACAATTCATACAGGGGGAAAAAAAAAACACGAGCAGTTTCCTCGTAATCTATGGAGTCTAGCTGGGGACAGGACCTCGGTGTGTTTGCATTCAGCACAATGGAATGTTCTCGGAAAGTTTGGGCAACTTGGAAAACAAGTGAAACTTTCTCTGGACTCTGGTGAGATGGACCTGAATTGAATTGCATGGAGGATCGGAGCTGCTAACTAACAATGAATCTGGCAAAGGACCTCGAGTGCTTCCTCCGGGTAGCTGGGGGCACGTAGGGTAAGGGGGAGGATCAAGTGCCACACGTGATTTGATTAAATAAGATGTCCGTGTGGCGCAGCGATACACATCTAAAGTGAAAATGATTTGGCGAGGCCGCCTGCTAATGCATTTTTCCTATCTAGCCAGGCATGCCCTGGATTCTTAACTCTTTGCTGGGTTTGCAATTGTTGGCTTTGGAAGATCAGATTTATGGGTTGTAATTGTTCTTATCTTGTGATTTCTTGGTAAGGCAAAACAGATACGGATAATTCATGTGTCCTGAAGTTATTGGGAGTTGGAGTTCTAAGTGACTTCAAAGTCTTGAGTGGCTCGAGAGTCCTGTGGTTGGCTGCCTGGCTGGCACCTGGGTCTCTCTGCTTTCATTTTCCGTCTCGCATTATTCCTAACTCTGCTCTTTGAATAAGGAGGGGAGCCTAGAGAAATGAGGAAGATTTGCTTTCATAGTCAGAGTTCCTGAAGTCTTTTGCAGCCAGGGTAGAACAGTGGCCTTAATTTTCTTTTCTTAAGGAAGGTGGGGTCTGGGGCTCCTTGTCCGGCCCTAGATGGAGTCTTGAGTCAGCTGAGACTGGCCAGTCACTGCTGCAGGGTAGACAGCCAGCTGTTAGAAGCCCTGCCTTTGTGGCAGGGCCCTGGGAATCACCTCCGCCTGTCTGAAATATTACAAGCAGCAGGTAGCGTTGGCAGTTTTCATTTTTTGAATCCTTAATGTTTGCTGTCATCTTGAAACCTATTATACCCTTTCACACATAATGACAGGACAGCACATTGCTTAATAAAGGCCCAGAATCACTAGAGCTACTCAGAGTCCCCCGTGTTTCACAGTTTAATGAAGGTGATGTAAAATAAGGTTACTAAGATTGATAGAGACAGTTCACATGACAGACTTCACCAAGACTGTCATTCTCCACCACCCCTCTCTCCACTAATTTTTTTTTCAGAAGTTAAGATTCTTTTTTCATTAATATAATTAATACTGCCAAGTCCACTTGTTCTCTCTCTCTTTAAAATTTACCATCAATGGCACCAAAACCTCTGAAAGGTTAATGGAGAATTATACTTAATTATAATGATTCATTATCATCAGTGCAGTTAAGCTAATTTATTGTTCTGCTCCTTAACTAAGAGAAAAGTCTGTTGGGGTGAAATAACGTACAATAATTAGCCTTTTGTGTTTAGTGACTGCTTTATCCTCTTAAATCTTATTATAAAATTAAGGCTACAGTTGTGAAATTGCTGTCATAGTTGCAGAGAGGCAATAGAATGTGTCTGTGTAATTGCAGCAGGGCACACCTGTTACAGACGTATGGGGGAGCCGTCCATACCAGCGTGTCAGAGGAGGGCAATCACAGGGCTCAGCCTATGAAGTCTGGCATTGTCCAAGGCCAAATATAAATTAAAACAGGAGCACTTGCTACTACTAATGTGTTTTAGATTAGCAGAATAAGGCCACATTCAGGTGCATTGATTTGATCAGGATGTCAACATTGGCAAACCACAGACACTCATTTGAACCATAATGGAAAAGTAAAAATGAAAAAGAGAGAGGGAGAGGGAGGGAGGGGAGAGAGAGAGAGAGAGAGAGAGAGAGAGAGAGAGAGCGCAAATTGATCACATCTGTTCAATAGCTATCAAAGTTACATATAAATATATATAAACACACACACACACACACACACACACACACACACACATATTTCTTGAAGGTTAAAGGATTTTGAACAAGTCCTGCCTGGAAAGGGCCATTAACAAGAGATAACAAGAAGCTGTGCCCCATCCATTCTGTGACAATTCGCTATTCCAAAATATGACTTCTGAATTCTAGAACAGGAGCATTAGCCCTGGGTAGAAGGCCTGTTTCCTAACTTGGTTTTCTTTTTGATACTGTCTGTTGTGGGTCCCTTAGTTTTTAAAGGATTCCCCCACACAATGAAATTCTACGTGGTTTGTTGTACTACTCACTGACAAAGTTCTCCTCTTGTCCGTGTACTGATGAGGAAGAGTTAATAAAGGGGGGTTGTGCCTCTCTGAGGGTAAATAGTACAGGTAAGAATGGAGCCCTGGAATTGTTACACCCATAACAAAACTCTAACATTGTACTCAGACAAGATCCCTGCTTTAGCCAGGCCTCTACTGCTTACAAATTTGAATCAGGTGTTCTGACTTGTAACTTTGTGCTAACTCAGATAACAGAAAGGAAAGTGCCATATAATGAGAAGGAAGGAGTTTTGACAAAGGGCAACAACCCTTTCTTTATGTGCCTGCTGTTGGAGGTCTTCCTTGGGCCTGGTGGTCTTCTAGACAAACTGCAGCGATCTACATACAGGGTCTTTCCATCTTCCTCTTACCAACTGCTGACTCCGTTACCCAGTACCCACTTCTCAGCGAGTGGCTTCTGATCACACTGATGCATATGACCTGTGTAATATAGCCTGCCAGGGATGACAGGGGTGCACTAGAAACAAAATCTGCATAAAACTAATTTTATTCAAAATCTAAATGTCAAAGAAAGTTTTCAGTTTTGTGCCCAGCTGCTTCCTGGGTGGGATCAACTCAATAGCATCTCTGCTGATCTTGAAAGGTAGAGGCACAAAGGTCTTGCTTCTGAGTATGAGACCCTTGGTTTAGGCAGCTGGCCCATCAGTGAATGAAGTTCTGGTGACTCTGCTGTCCTCACACTTGGCAGTAAGATTGTCTGTGAACTCTTTAGAGTACACAGACTAGAATCAGCAAATAGGTAGCCAAGCAAAGTGTAGGAGACTATCGCGTTGGTAAGGGGACCCAATTTCCTCTCAAAGCAACAGTGCAAGGCATGAAAAACATTATCTACAGCCTCCAAAGAGGTGAAAGAATATAATGATCTAAAGTAACCTTCCTGATGAGCAGCCTGGCCACTGTTAAGGACATTTTGAAACTTTTATTATATTGAAATCATTTTATGACTCTAGACAAATATAGTCATTTTTACTTCACTGAGAATGTAGTTTTGATGTGCTCAAATAAAACACAAAATGTAACTTGTGGGGCAGTAGCTTGGATTTTCTCTTTTGGGTGCCAAGTAATGCAAAGTACACACACACACACACACACACACACACACACACACATACACCTTGCAAATCATTCATACTGAAAGCTATAAGGGCCACATAGAAAAAAAATATGATTTTTGTTCTTTCTCTCAAGGAACTTGCATTTGACCTGTTAAGGATGAAGTCCAGAAACTCATAAAAACTCAAGTGAGAGTAAATGATTTAAATAACAATTCAAGGGAATCATAGATGAGTCAATGGACTTGCATCATTAGTTACTAAATGAATGATACAGATTAAATGCTTAAAGAGAGTAGACATAGACAAAGTTTTGCTACTCTAATCCCTGAGTCCTCTTTTCTGATTTAGCAATATTTAAGGTCTACAGTATGGTCATGCTGATTCCAGTCTAGAAATCAAGCTTACGTACTCTCAAAGGTCATATGCTAAGGGCACATGTACAGAGTTAGCTATAGGACATGATTTGAAACTTGCTGAGTGCAACTGTCCTAGAGGTATGAACAAAGCCTTCATGGTAACATGGCATTTAGCTTGGATTTGGGTATAGAATTGGATTAAATTAGACAAAATACCCTTTGGGAGCCAAGTGAGTAAAGAATGTAACATGTTTCCCCTGAGGATGAAAACTCCAGAGGCAGTTTTGGTGGTGTCATTGAATGAACCAGGCTAATTCCTATCACATGCTATTGCTGTTTAATCAATTCCTGGAGTTAATAGCCTTCCCCTCGCCCCCTTTCTGCCTCTTGCAGTGTGCTGCTCTGGTTGGTGAAGACCAGCCTCTTTGCCCCGATCTTCCTGAACTTGATCTTTCTGAACTTGATGTGAATGACTTGGATACAGACAGCTTTCTGGGTGGACTGAAGTGGTGTAGTGACCAATCAGAAATCCTATCGAACCAGTACAACAATGAGCCTGCGAACATCTTTGAGGTAAGGACATCGTCTGGAGAGAGTGCCTTCTTGTTGATTTTGGTTTGGGCCACACCAGTGTGGTACTAGAGACCTCGATACATGATGGATTCTTGCTTTGCTGTCATCATCAAATTTGTCATTGCAGTTAGAGAATTTGTGTTTTCAAGGAAAAGCAATATTTGAAGCAGTATTTGGAAAACATGTTTTTTTTTCTTTTTTTTAGAATTAAAGGGCTAAGGACTAACAAAAGGGTGCATTAAACTGTGTTGAAATACAAGGGTTAAGAAAACAGCAGTGACAAAGAACAAAAGTCTATAGATGTTGCCTCTTTCTATTCCCACAGAAAGAGACCCAGCAGTACCCGGTGCTTAATACAAATTAATATAGAGCCAGACATTTCTTTTGAACTAAGGGGTTAATGTCTATCTCCATTTGTTTTACTACGTAAGTGAAGAGTTTTGGATTATTGCTATTACATTATTGCTTCATACCCCTAATTTTGTTACATGATGGAAAATTCTAAATTCAAAAAATCTAGTATGTACTTATAAATTAGTCAAAATTCATTTACCTTTCAGTAGCGAGAATTACCTCCCAGACTCTAGACGCCTATTATAAGCCTACCCTATAATAAAGAATGTTAATTTACTCCTATTAAAGTGTTACTTAGAGAAAAGAGGTTCGTTCTCACAACTCAGCACTCATTTACTTGAAAAATAAATCATTTCTTATGTGATAAACACTCAGTGAGTATTCTGACAAGTGAATTGGGTGAAAATTGTCAAATCAACCAGTTTTCAACATCAAAACCAGCAGCACCACCATCATCATCTAACATTTTCTGAACCTCTGTGTGCCAGGCTGCATGCAAACCTTCTTTTGGCCACCAGCCAGAATGTTATTGGCTATTTGCAAAGTTATTTGATTGAATTCTTGAGTCTTTAAGAGAGTCAATTTTGGGGCTGGAGAGATGGCTCAGTGGTTAAGAACACTGGTTGTTCTTGCAGAAGACCCGGGTTTGAATCTCAGCACCCACATGGCAGCTAACAACTGTCCATAACTCCAGTTTCAGGGGATCGGACAGACTCTTCTGTCTTCCGTGGTCATTGCACAACATGGGTGCACTTACCTACATGCAGGCAATACATGCATACACATAAAGTAAAAATAATAAATAAAATATATAAAAGAGTCAATATTAAAATATTGACTTTTGTTACCATCCACACATAGATGGTACTGAACAAATGATTGTTCAATGAGATATTGATAAATATGATATTCTTGATAGCCCATAAGTAGTAACATTTATGGCCAACATTTTGGAAATACCACTACTTTCTGTATAGCATCACAATCATCCCTCTAAACAACCTATTGTTTCCATATCATCATCATCATCATCATCATTGTCACTGTCGTCATCATCCCCATTTTACATATGCAAGAACTGAGTTTCAGAGAAGTTAAGTGATTGCACCAAAACCATATAGTTGGGAAATAAAGACCTGGCTTCAATTTCTAATTTTATCTCACTTCAAAGTCTATACCATTGATAAAAATAGGGAGACTGACTTTTGGGTAACAGCTATCCTTTACAAAAATGTATCAAGCTGCTTCTTTGCTTAATATATTTAAAAATAGAACAGAACGTTTCTTTTCTGTGTTGGCCTGTGCAGAGGTGCCGAGTTGTTGGTGAGCTGGAGGGCCTGTCAACTCTGTGGATGGCTAAACTTCTGTAACATGCCTGGAGAATTACACGGGTCTTAAGAGAATGCTTAAGGTAGAGGAGTCAGGGCTGGGGAGTGTGAGCTAGGAGGAGGAAACACCAAAGGTCTGTGGCTGGTTACACTTTCCCAGGCTTCTCGGCTGGGTCTTAGAAAGTTCATGTAAGGACTTGGCCGGTTAGAACTGGTAAATTGAACATTCCTCACTTAGTACACTTGTCAGGTTACAGGTCCATTCTAAGTCATGCAGCATTAAATAAACAGCACTTTAAAAAACATGTTCATCTCTATAGACTTCTTATCTGGCGATCAGCTGTGGCTATTCCATACTGGGTGAATGCCATTGCATTTTGCAGATGATGGTTCCAGGATAACTGAGAGCTGGGGGGAGGTGATGTGGTAATCATTACCTCCAGGTAAGCTGGTTTCAGAACTTTCCCCATGACCTTATGTTCACATATTTCTCGTTGTGGAACCTGCATGGGGTACTTCCGTTTATAGCTTCAGGAGACTTGGCTCAGCAGCTTGTCCATTATCTATATATAGATGCTTAATCTATTCAATGACACTCCTTTTTATTTTCTATATAACTTCTACTCTAATAGAATGTTTTCAATGCTCTAAAACACAAGGTTCATTTAATTTAATCTTTCATTAGGTCATTTTAAACCAATGATTCTCAACCAAAAGCAATTTTAGCCCCCAGAGGACACTTGACAGTGTCTGGAGGTGTTTGATTATTAGGAGTGGGGGACAAGGTGATACCACTGCCATTTAGTGATGGAGATTAGGGATGGTGCTAAGTATCCTACCATGCACAGAACAGCTAATCTTAACAAAGAGCTATCCGATGACAATAGTGCCAAGCTTAGGAATTTTTTTTAAAGTCAGAAAAATTTCCTTTATGAAGTATAAAGATGAGTTGGTCAGATTTCTGAGACAAACATAGTATGATATTAGATATACAAAGAACAGAAGCCATTTAATATTATTGAGATGCCTTGGACCTCAGGACTCATATGTCAGGTATTCTGTTAGTGATAAAGACCAGGAGGGACTGTTTAGACATGTCCCCATAGCAGTTTTCTCTGATGTCACAGGACCCATTCTTCTTTGTCTAGGCAAAGGGTCAGGTCATATGTGTGGCAACACTCTCAGCAGCGGCATGACACTTGCACAGTGTGCTGACTCCCTCACTCTTTGCCCTCTAGTGTTAAACTCACACATCTGTCCCACAGTGGGAAAGAAAAATGAGCATCAGTGAATTCTCAAGTCCGGGCTTTCCGTACGCAGTGACAGTGTCCCTTTTGCCTGGCCCCAGCTTGACATGGGCTCTACCAAAGTAGCTTTTCACAAGGGCCATTTCCCAGGGACACCCGCTCCTGTGGACTTTCCTCTGTGCTTTCCTCCTATGCTTTCCTTTGCCTGATTCTCAAAGTCCTGTCTCATCACATTTGAGAAGGCCTTGAGCAAGCCAAACAGTCACGGCTCTGCCTGCTCTGATCTGTCAATTATAAGCATTATTATATACCTCTGCCTCCCAGGATAAAATAAGCTACTGAAGAGTTAAACATTTTTTCCCTGACTCAGGTTTCACATTGATGACACCGCTGGAATCTGGCCATGGGGTTCTGAACCGTAATCAAAGCAGAGAGTGAGATTTAGGGTGACATGGTGGTACAGCAGAAAAGGAACGTGTTGGGAGTGGGGAGCAACCTCCTCCTTTACCTCTCCCATATATTTGAATCTAAGATTATTTTTTCAATATATATTTTCATTGAGGTTTTGTACATTTCATACAATACATCTTAATCATGTTTTGACCCCCTTTCCTATCTCCCATCCCCCACTGGATTTCATCCATTCTGTTGTATATGTTAAACCCTATCCAATCAAGTTTGTGTCCCGAGATGTCCCTCAGTATGAGTTCATCCACTGGTCAGTCTATCTAGTGTCACTCCCTTAATGAAGACAAAGTCTCCCTCACTCAGCAGTGATGAACTGTCAATAGTTCCTCAGCTAACGTTGGGGCATTCTGCCCATTTCCCCAGTTCTATGCTGTTTAAAAAATATTTTATTATTTTGGTTCTATGTGTATGGGTGTATTGCCTACATGTATATAAGTGCACCTGTGTCATGTAATGCCTGCAGAGGTCAGAAGAGGGCATTGAATCCCCTGGAACTGGAGTTACGGACAGTTGTTAGCCACCATGTGGGTGCTGAGGATCGAACCCTGGTCCTCTGAAAGATCAGCCAGTGCTCCTAACCACTGAGTCAACTCTCTAGTTCCTATGCTGAGTTTTTGGCTGGTTTGAGTTTGCATGGTTCTTATGCATGCTGTCACCACTGATGTAAGTTCATATGACTAGGTTCCCAGAAACCTGGACAACTCCATTTCTTTGTGGTCATCCATCATCCCTGGCTCTTAAGATCTTTCCACTCCCTCTTCCACAATGGTCCCTGAACCTTTAATTTTTACTTAATGTCACAAATGTAAGTATTAATAATAAAAAGAACATAATCAAAGGGCTGGAGAGACGGTTCAGTGTAAAAAGCTTACTGCACAAGCACAAGGACCTGAATCAGATTCCCAGGACCCATATAAGAAGGCAGATATCGCGGTACATGAGTAGGAACAGAGACAGGAGCTTGGTGGCCAGCCAAGATCGCCAACTGGTGAGCTTCAGGTTCAGTGAGGGACTTGTGTCAAAAAATAAGATGTCAGGCTATCAGGAAGACACATGGCATCAATCTCTGCCTCCACAGGCATGTGTATGGTCATCTTCACCCTCACCAACATGTGCACACACATATACCATATATACACATATATGAAACACACATATATCCATAAAAATTAATGAAGTTCAGTGTCACAATCTGAGAATGAATATATCCTGAGTAGAGTCAAGCTGTGCCAACATGCAAATTGTACATACTGGTTGAGTAACTGGACCTATGCTTGCAGCACCTATGTTTGGATGTGTAAGAGCAGGTGACCATGTATAATAGCCAGTTGGAAAATTCAGAAATCACTTTGAAGAACAGGGCAAAACCTATAGGGGCAGCCTCCCGTGCCTGATTCATGTGTAAGGAAAACAGGATGCTGTCCCTGACCTGCCTGGTAGCAAGATTTATGTTTCAGAATATTGCAACATAACTTCCTTCCCTGGGTTGCCTTTGTGCATTGTGTGGAGAATAAAGAAGTGCTTTTACAGCACAGCAGTGAGTAAAGATGGGTGGCATCGGGCTCGTTTAAATAGTACCCGAGTCTTTCTGGGTCACTGTGGG